GGCTCATTTCTCCTTGTTTAAAAGCTCATTTCTGCTCACTGATAGAACTCACTCCTCAGTGTAAAAGCTCCTTTTCCTCAGTACAAAATCTCATTTTTAAACTTTTTTTCCCAGCCCTTCAGTGCTCCCCTTTGCCCAGTTTGTTTTTAGGGGTGATTTTTCTCTCTCCCCTGTTCCTGCTCACACCCCAGCCACACTTGGAGCTGGAATTCACCCTCATAGCTGGAATTCCCAAATTCCTGCCTGGCCTGGGAGCTGCTGCTCCCCTGGAGGTGCCTGCCTGTATTTGGGCATCCCATTCCTGCTGAATCCTTCCTTCCTTCCTTCCTTCCTTCCTTCCTTCCTTCCTTCCTTCCTTCCTTCCTTCCTTCCTTCCTTCCTTCCTTCCTTCCTTCCTTCCTTCCTTCCTTCCTTCCTTCCTTCCTTCCTTCCTTCCTTCCTTCCTTCCTTCCTTCCTTCCTTCCTTCCTTCCTTCCTTCCTTCCTTCCTTCCTTCCTTCCTTCCTTCCTTCCTTCCTTCCTTCCTTCCTTCCTTCCTTCCTTCCTTCCTTCCTTCCTTCCTTCCTTCCTTCCTTCCTTCCTTCCTTCCTTCCTTCCTTCCTTCCTTCCTTCCTTCCTTCCTTCCCAGCAAAACCCACCTCAACGCTGCCCAGCTGCGGCAAACTTCACCCAAACCATAAAAATCTCAAATAAAAAGATAAAAAGAGGAGTTATGCAAATGGCAATGCTCAGGAAGGGCTTTTTTTAGCCCCCATTGCTGGCGAGCTGCTCGTGGGTCATCTGAAAGTTCCTTTTTTTGGGGTTTGTTTGTGGCAGAGATACGTTATCTGCCTGACACTTTACTCATACGAATGCCATTCACCAGGGAGTCTGAATCAAAGACGGGCAATGTTCCCTCTCCCAGCGTTATTTTTAGAATACTCATGTTTACTGAAAGCTCACATTAATATTCTTTGTTCAAACTTGGCTAAATTTAGCAGGAGGCAGTTTAATAATCCTGGAGCCACGGGGGAATGATTCCCCTGGGATTGCTGCGTTCCTGGGTGCCCTTTCTGCTGCAGAATCTGACTCATTTCTTCTGCAGCTTTAATTCGCAATTTTAATCCTCCACTAAATCATGGGACATTGTTTATGGGATGAGCAAGGTTACACCAAGGTTCCTCCTGCCCGGAGGGGACATCAGAGGCAAGGAATGGGGATGATTTTCACTTGGGATTGTTGAAATTTGGGGTTGTTTATTCCTCCCAGAACTCTGGGTGGCTCAGGGTCCTTCTCCAAGGCTGGGGAGCTCCCCGAAGGCTCCGTGATGGGAGCAGAGCAGGGAAACAGAGCCAGCAAGAGAGGAGAATTCACCCTGAACCCCAGGGACTGCAGCAGCAGCTCAGGAGGAGGAAAAGGAGGGGTAGTGGAATAGCAGAGTTAATTAGAGCGAGGTTTGAGTGGCTGGCATCTCCTCCTGGTGGCTGCCAGCAGCAGGGTGACATTCCCGGGGCCAGCAGGTCCTGTGGGAGATGTCACATGGGGAGCCTGGAAAAGGCAGCGCTGGGGAGGAGAAAATAACGGGGGAGTCACTGCTTGGGAAGGGGGATCAGCCTGGAATAATGGGAATCACTGCTTGGGGAAGGGGGATCAGCCTGGAATAATGGGAATCACTGCTTTGGGAAGGGGGATTGGCCTGGAATAATGGGAATCACTGCTTGGGGAAGGGGGATCAGCCTGGAATAATGGGAATCACTGCTTGGGAAGGGGGGTCAGCCTGGAATAATGGGAATCACTGCTTGGGGAGGGGGATCAGCCTGGAATAATGGGAATCACTGCTTGGGAAGGGGGATCAGCCTGGAATAATGGGAATCACTGCTTTGGGAAGGGGGATCAGCCTGGAATAATGGGAATCACTGCTTTGGGAAGGGGGATTGGCCTGGAATAATGGAGTCACTGCTTTGGGAAGGGGGATCAGCCTGGAATAAAAGGGTCCTGGAGGGGAGGAGGGACCTCACGGGGCAGGGACAGGGCCCAGGAAGGGCTGGGGCTGTGCCAGGGATTTGGGATGGAGATCAGGGAAAGGTTCAGGGGTTTGGAAAGGTTCAGGGGTTTGGGATGGAGATCAGGAAAGGTTCAGGGGGTTTGGGATGGATCCAAGGAAAGGTTCAGGAATTTGGGATGGATTCCAGGAAAGATTCTGGGGTTTGGAATGGAGATCAGGGAAAGGTTCAGGGGTTTGGGATGGATCCTAGGAAAGGTTCTGGGATTTGGGATGGATCCAAGGAAAGGTTCAGGGGTTTGGGATGGAGATCAGGAAAGGTTCAGGGGTTTGGGATGGAGATCAGGGAAAGAAAGGTTCAGGGGATTTGGGATGGAGATCAGGACAGGTTCAGGGGATTTGGGATGGATCCTAGGAAAGGTTCTGGGATTTGGGATGGAGATCAGGAAAGGTTCAGGGGTTTGGGATGGAGATCAGGGACAGGTTCAGGGGTTTGGGATGGATCCTAGGAAAGGTTCAGGGGTTTGGGATGGAGGTCAGGAAATGCTCTTCCCTCAAGGGTGCCGGGCACTCCCAGGCTCCCCAGGGAATGCACATCCCCAGCCCTGCCAGAGCTCCAGGAGCCTTTGGAAAACCCTCTGGGATTGCTGGAGCAAAGGTGGAGCCCACAGTAAGTCCCAAACATGGCCAGAAGTTGACCCAAGGTGCCGAGTGAGAGATCCAAGTGTGTGCTGGGAAGGGAAGGAAAGTTCCAGCCCTTTCCCCCTTTCCCTCTCACATCACCGCTTTGTTTTCCTCCCCTTGGCCGTGATTCACTGGATCCTGAGAGATGCAGCAGTGTGACAGTGAATATTTACTGATTTATTTGATTTATTTCTCTGTCGGCGCAGGCAGGAGCCCCAGGCAGGTGAAATCATCCCAGAAATGATCCCGGGGGAAACGGAGCTGCCCGAAACCTTTGGAGGGATGGAACGAGGCAGGAGGAGCCTCACCCCTTCCTTCTGGGGGAAATCCTCATCATCTGCAGCCTGGGGTTTGGATTTGAGTCTGGAGAGCAGCCAGGATGGGAGCCCTGGGAATATCCTGTGTGCAATGGGGTTTAAATATTGAATATTAAATATTGAATATTGAATATTAAATATTGAATATTAAATATTAAATATTGAATATTAAATATTAAATATTGAATATTTCCTGGAGGCTGCTGCACCCAGGAGCCCCAGGCAGTGTCGGGAGCCCGTGGGAGGAGAGATCCCCACTCAGAGACAGGAGATCCCAGCACGGAGGAGGCGGCAAAATGGGATTTTCACTCAACTGAAAAAGTCGGATTGAAGTTGAAAAAGATTTTTTTTTTTTTGTTAATTCCACATAGAGCTGAATGTAAATTCCAAGTTGTTGTTTTGGTTTTTTTTTAAATTCCACATAGGGCCAAATTTAAATTCCAAGGTTTTTTCTTTTTGTGTGTGTGTGTGTGGTTTTTTTGGGGGTTTTTTGGAGGTTTTTTTTTGGGGGTTTTTTGGATTTTTTTGGGGTTGTTTTTTTTTTTTTTTTTTTTTTAATTCTACACAGGGCCGAATGTAAATTCCAAGGTGTTTTTTTTGTTTGTTTGTTTTGGTTTGGTTTTGTTGTTTTTTTCTTTTTAATTCCACACAGAGCCAAATTTAAAATTCCAAGTTTTTGTTTGTTTTAATTCCACATAGGCCGAATTTAAATTCCAAGGTTTTGTTGTTTTTTTATTTTAATTTTACACAGGACCCAATTTAAATTCCAAGTTTTGGACTTTTTTTTTTTAATTCTACACAGGACCGAATTTAAATTCAAAGTTTTTGCTTTATTTTTTTAAATTCTACACAGGACCGAATTTAAATTCAAAGTTTTTGCTTTATTTTTTAAAATTCTACACAGGACCCAATTTAAATTCCAAGTTTCTGGGGTTTTTTTTGGTTTGTTGTTTTTTTTTTTTTTTTTTTAATTCTACACAGGGACAAATTTAAATTCCAAGTTTTTGGGGTTTTGTTTTTGTTTTTTTTTTAAATTCCACACAGGGACAAATTCCTTCCCCCAGTCCCACCTCTCCCTGCCCTCCCTGGGTCCTGTCCCTCCATCCCTTATCTCAAATCCCTCTCCTGGAGCCCCTTCGGGCCCTGGAAGCCCCAATTTGGTCACCCCAAAGCTCCCACGTGGTCGTTGATGCCATAAATTGAATATTTGAGCTGCAAAATTGCAACCCCAAAAAGCTTTTCTGTAGAAATTAAACAAAAAAGCAGAAGATGAGCAGGAAAAAAAATGGTATTGATCCTAATGGGATTTTGGTTTTGGGAAAAAACAAAATCAGAGCAAAAAAATCTGCTTCATACAAATTTCCAGCAGAAATGTAGCCCTAATTTAAAATTAATTTCAATTAATTTGCATTTCCTGAAAGAATTCACAGCATGACTACAGCAATGCCTGTTAGAGGATTAGACTTGTATGTATTCCTATTTCCAGTTCATTAATTATGTTAATGACTTGTCTAAATTAGACTCAAAATTAGACATCTCACTGTAAATAGTTGGGGTTTAAATATTAAATAATATCAACTATTAATAATATTGATATTACAAATAAAAAAGGGGTTATTGGGGTTTGGGTATTTTTCCATTTAAGTGTCTTTGGGTTGATTTTTTGTGTGTTTGGGTTTATAACTCAATTTCCAGTCATGGTATTAATTGGATTATAAAAATAAATGTAAAAATAACGTGAGATTAAACAACTTGAGGCAAGCAGGGTCCTGTACAGAAAAATCCTGAACAGGTTGAGAGAAACCCAAGGAAAGGAAATTTTTCCATGGCTCTTTTTTTTTTTGGGGAAAGAATCCTCCAGAACAGGAGTTATTTCAGTAAAAACACTTGGAATTTTGCAGCGTCAGAATTTCCTTTGGATGCCTCTCTTCAAGGGAACAACATCCAAACAACGAATTTCCCTCATATTTTCCACATGAAGCCGAATCCTGAATAAAATCTACTTGACAGGAGGAAGGGTTGGCTGAAGGATTAGTCTCATTTTAATAGAATATCCACGGAATTTATGGAATAGTACAAAGCAAAACTCAGGGCACAGATGAAGAGTCTGCTAGCACAAACCACCTAATTACAACCACTGCAGAAAATGACATTTCACACGTTTGTACAGGTGGGGTTGGGCTGGAAAGGAACCAAAAAAAAAAGGAAAAAATAAACAAAAAACAAAACCCTGGGATTGTTGTTTATTGTCAACTCCATTTTACCAAAACCTGCTGAGTTTCTGGCTGCCAGGAGGGAAGGAAAGAAGGAAATAGAAAAGAGGAAAATGTGCTTTTTGTGGGGGTTTTTTTGTCCCTTTCTCCTGCTCCAGGCCCATCCCAGCCCTTCTTTGACTCCTGGCTTTTTTTTTGAAATCCTCTAAAAAAAGAGGATTTGTTGCCTTCAAAACCTTTTTTTCTGCACCTCTGTGGGGAATAAAGATAGAAAAATAAACCATGATGGAAGCTCTAAACATCCACTGGCATTTCCACAGCACTGGACAGAAAGGATTGGGATGAATTCCTGCCCTGGAATCCAGCTTTGGTTCCTGTGCCTTCCTTGTGAACCACAGCAAAAACTCATGGCCAGCCCCAAATCTGGGTGGGAAAAGCAGAAAAGTTGGAGTTCCTGGAGCTGAGGGTAAATCCTCCAAGGGAGGGGAAGGGAATTCCTGCTCTGCACAGGAAGAAATTGGATTTTTCAGGCTGATGTGGAGTGAATTGAGGTCCTGCCATTAAACACACAACGAGTGAAACCACCAGGATTTGGTGAATATGGGCATAAAAGAACTTTTTTTCTGCAGCTAAAATGTGGCTTCCCATGGGAGAAAAATCTCAGGAAAAGTCAAATCAGACCAGAAAGTGCTCAGTATAATCCAGGGAATTGAGGAGTGAAGATCCTGGTCCTCCAGGGATGATTTTGTGAGGCAGGAACGGGGCCTTGGTGCTCGCTGGGGGCTCTGAGCAGTCCAGCAGTATTGCTAAAGGGATGAGTTTATTTCATTTGCTTCTTTAAACATATTTATATATTTATATACTGGTCAAAGTTCTACTGGAAATGCACTTCCACCAGCAGCAGTGCAGATTTCTCCCCATCCAGCTGAGATTTGTCACCCCACCTCTGGCACAGGGACATTTTCCTTTTTTGTGGTTTTGTCCAAGAATTTGTAGATTTTTTGCTTTGCAATCAACTGGTTGAAATAACTCAATGATAATTAATTTAATTTTTTTTTGGATGCTCTAAAATTCACTTTTGACATTTCTAATTTCTCCTTGATGAGGCTGCAGGGTTCTTCTCTGTGATAAAAGACATAAAAACTTTATCCATGTGTCCATCCATCCATCCATGAACATAAACTTTACATGCTTATAAAACAGTGAAAAATTAAAATCTAATGCACACCACTTGGAGTGCTCCATCACAAAGTGCACTTTTTGAAACAGAACAAAACCAAAAATTTCTTCCAAGAAGTTAAAAATTGATTTTTTTTTTGTATGGAAACAACTGCCCATCTCCATCTCATGAAGGGAAATTGGGGATCTGTCCTTTTCCCAGCTGAAATTCCCTTGCTCTGAAGGAGTTACTTGGAAAAAGGTGAAGTTTCATTTTGTATTTTTTCTTTTTTTTCCTGAAAGTGCAGACAGAGTGGGTTTGGGGAGGAATGAAACAACCAAAACGCAAATTCCATCCTGGTGCGGATCCCTCATGAAAGGAGGTTGGGATTCCTGATCTCCCACATCCATCTTTTCCATCCCAGCTGTGTTTTTGAACGTTTTTTGATGCACAAACATTTTCCAGAGCTGGATTTTGACCCCATCACTCAACGTTTCGTCCGCTTTGTTGTTGAATAATTGCAAACTTCCCTTGCAGTTCCAGCGTGGGGTGGAAATCTGATGAATTTCCCTCTAAATCCATAAAAACAAAGGGAAAAAAAAAAAAAAGAGGAAAAAAAAAACCAAAAGGAAAATCAACTTGAAGTGTTCTCAGTGAAACCCCAGCCTCTGGGCCCCACGAGGAGCTTTGAGATTGTTCATGGTGGGAACTGAAATTGGTTTAATCAGCAAAGTCTTTCCTTCACCCCTGGGACAGAGGCACTGGGAGGGAATTTGGGGATTCCTGGCTGCTCCTTCTGCCTCCAGACAGAGCTGGGAGCTCAGCACACCAGGGAGGAGTCACCTGGAAGAACCCTGAGCTCCACAAACACCTGAAGGGCTCTTCTTGCCTCGAATTTTGCAGAATTCCTTGTGAAATCCCATTGGTTTGGGTTGGAAAGGACCTGAAATCCCATCCAGTGCCACCCTGCCGTGACCCCAGGGCGCTCCAAGCCCCTTCCAGCTTGGAATATTTTGTCAATAATTGGTTTATAATCTTGTTTAGATAGAATGTGGAATTTTATTTTTCTTTTCCTTTGGTGCTGTGGGTGCAGAGCTCTGCTTTCCATCCCTGGCTGGAGCGTGTGAGGAGAATGTCTCAAACGAGAATTAAGGTTAAAAAGTTATTTTGATGCTTCCTTGAAGGGGACGAAGGGGCTCATCCAGAGTGGTTTTGTTCACTGAAGGGAGGAGAAAAGCAGCTTTGTGTGATCAGAGGAGCCATCCCCACCTTCAGGAGAAATCCTGCTCTACCGGAATTCTCCTCGAGACGATGAGATGGGCAGGGGATTCTTCATCTGGAGGATGACAGGGTTGGTGAAGTGAAGGAATGGGCAGGGAATCCTTCATCTGCAGGTGTTTGAGAGGGGTTTTACCCGATCATGGAATCAGAGAATCCTAAAATGATTTGGAGGGGCCTGAAACCCCGTCCAGGGACACCTCCCACTGTCCCAGCCCGGCCTTGGGACATTCCAGGGACCCAGCCTGAGGCCATGCAAGCTGGCTCTGCCTCTGAAATCAGGAATTCCCACAGAATTTTGCCCAGACTGTTGTTCCTTCATTTCTTTCCCCCCCTTTCCTTTGCTCACAGAATCCTCACGAGTCCAAATCCCGAATCCCCAGAGGCCGAGTCCCACCTGCGCCTGTGGGCCCCAGCAGCAAGGCCTGTGCTCTGCGCCCTCCCTGGGGCCATTCCAGGCAGGAATGTGGAATTTAATGTGCTGGAGGAGCATTTCCCTCCTCAGGGAACCTCCCAGCCCTTCAGCAGCATCAGCAGCGGGTGATTGTCCAGTGGAGACCAAGACAGGGCCTGGAGAATTTCCTTATCCTGGAAAGCTCCCTCTAAACCCCGACCCTTTGGGGTGTGTGCCCTCAGGAGAAGGTTCCGTGGGATCCCTTCAGAGTGCCTCACGCACCTGGATGGGATAAAAACCAGGAAAAACCATGGAAGGACCATGGGGGTTCCTGCTGGGAATGAGTTCCAGAGGAACAGTGGAAGCTGGCAGTGCTGCCCAGGCCGCGGGCACTCGGAATCTTCTGGAAGAAGCTCGCGCTGGCTGGAAAAAGGAGGGAGAAGCTCTTCCCATTGCCCGTGGTGGCTGTTCTCAGCTTTTGGGGTGTCCTGGAGGAGCCTGGGGGTGCTCCATGCTGGCCAGCAGCGAGTGAAGGGAAGGTTCATGACTGAAACCAAAATGAATTCTCTTTCTGGGCTGGAGATTCATGGACTGGAGGACGCTCTTGACTTACTCCAAGGATACACAGTGAGTATCTGCGCTGTGCAATGCTCTCCACAGACCATTCCCTAAACACACCAGAACCTGTCCTGTAAAGTGCTGCTCTTGCTTTGTTTTCTGCGGGGGAGTTTGTTCGGTTTTTGTTCTTCTTTTTCTTTTTTCTTTTTTTTTTTTTAAAAAAAAAGGAAAGCGATTCCCAAGAGGTGGAAGGACTTTGCATCTTGGAGGCAGAGGAGGCAGGCTCCAGGATTTACAGGGCTTGGAAGAAGGTGGTGGCAAGCTCTCGTCCCCAGAGGCCGCTGAGGTGGGTGACTCCAGGCTGCTCCTTCTCTACTCCATTCCTCTGTGCTGCTCCCACTCAGGACATGCTGGGCAGGAAAAAAGAGACAGGAGGCACTGTCAGGCAGCAAACTGAGGTAAAAAATGCGATTATTGCCAGCACATCAACAAAAAAGAGGAGTGAGTTTGGGTGAAATGGTTCGCAGAAGTGCGTTGGGGACACTGATGGTGCCATGGCTTCCATGGGCAGAGGGGACAAAGTGACACCAGGCTCAGGGACCCTGGTCATGGATCACAAATGGCACAGGATGTGTCCCAGCCACACCAAGAGCTCAAACCTGGTCTCCTGATCCTCTGCTGGGGGCACGGGCATGCTGCAAAGAGAGAATAAAAATAAATAAATCTCCAGCACATGAGAAATATAAATATAAAATATAAAATATAAAGTATAAAATATAAAATATAAAATATAAAATAATAAATATAAAATATAAAATATAAAATATAAAAATAAAATATAAAATGTAAAATGTAAAATATAAAATATGAAATATGAAATAATAAATCTCCAGCACAAACCCATCTCCGCCCTCTGCCCTGAGCTCCAGGAATTTTTCAGCCTCATCCAGGGCATCTTTCCCTGCTCCCCCTCAGGAATTAGGATAGGAAGAGAGGCTGTGTCTGCTCAGGGCCAGAGCCAGGCCACATTATCCTGGTGAAGGATTTTATCTTCCAAACCCCTCCAGAATTTCCCTTCCCTACAGGTCCAGCCTTTATCAGCTCCTGAACACTCTGGGAATGGCCTGGTGGGTCCCAGAGGGGCTCCCAAGCTCTGGGGCTGTTCTCATCCCCAAAGACTCTTCAAGGGAAGGAGAAATCAGAGGAATGGGTAAATCAGAGAAAAGGGTAAATCAGAGGAATGGGTAAATCAGAGGAATGGGTAAATCAGAGGGAAGGGTAAATCAGAGGGAAGGGTAAATCAAAGAAAAGGGTAAATCAAAGAAAAGGATAAATCAGAGAAAAGGGTAAATCAGAGGAATGGGTAAATCAGAGGAATGGGTAAATCAGGGGGAGGGCAAATCAGGGTCCTTACCTTTCCCTCTCAGCCATGTCCTGTTTCTCCTCTGCCCTGTAAACACAAATCCCATTGGGAATCCATCCCCCAGTGGGAAGGAGGAGCCCCCAGTGCCTTCCTGGGGTGATGGATGGGCCTTGGAGAGAGAGGAGCCACTCTCCACCCCTGCCCAAATTCCTCTTACCTTTCTTTTCTGGCCTTGATCCTCTCTTCTTCATATCTGCAACAAAGACAAGCCCTCCTTTAGCTGCTGCTGTTCCCTTTTAGCCCCATTTGGTGTTTGCTGAGGGTGGCAGAAGCCCTGAGCCGCCCCATTCTGGGCTCTTCCTTGGCTGGGAGCAGGTTTGCCCAGGCTCTGCCCTCCCAACCCATGGGTTTGGGCTGAGCTGGGTTTGACCCTGAGCTGGCCCTCCCCAGAGCCCCAGGGTCCCTCTGGCACTCACTGCAGGACACACTCTGGGATCTGCACGTGCTCCATGGGGATGAGCTGCTCCAGCTCCTCCAGGCTGTGCACGTACTGGATCTTATTGATGAACTTCACACTGGCAGGGAGAGACACAGAGAGAGGCAGTGCCACCCCAGGGGCTCCAAAAACACCTCTGGAGGTGTCACTGCAGGGATCTGAGGGGGGCAGGACAAGGGGCAGCTTCAGCCCTGGCTAAGGGTGAGTTTAAAATCGGATTTGTGGGATTAAACCCCGGGGAAGCGCTGGGGCTGGGCCAGGGGGGTGGGATGGAGATCAGGGAAAGATTCAGGAGATCAGGGAGAGGTTCTGGGATGGAGATCAGGGAGAGGTTCTGGGGTTTGGGATGGAGATCGGGGAAAGCTTCAGGGATGGAGATCAGGGAAAGGTTCTGGGGTTTGGGATTGAGATCAGGGAGAGGTTCAGGGTTTTGGGATGGAGATCAGGGAAAGGTTCAGGGATGGAGATCAGGGAAAGGTTCAGGACATCCCAGGAAAGGCTCAGGGGTTTGGGATGGAGATCAGGGAAAGGTTCTTCCCCCTGAGGGTGCTGGGCACTGAATTCCCCAGGGAATGGTCCCTTCCCAGCCCTGCCAGAGCTCCAGGAGCCCTTGGGCCCCACTCTGGGGTTGTTGGGGTGCCTGTGCAGGGCCAGGGGCTGGGCTGGATGATCCCTGTGGATCCCTCGAACTGAGGATGTTCCATCACTCCGTGATTCCAAACTCCCACCCCAAACCTGCTGGGCCTGGGGCTGCTGTGCTCACCTGATGAAGGGTCTGGAGATGGCCAGGACAGTCCTGATGAACCACGAGGGGTGCACGATGATCAGGGCCTTGAGGTTCTTCCTCAGCCTGGGGACAAGGCAGGGGACACAGTCACATTCCAAGGACATTCCCTCAACTGCCCTGGGCTGTGCTGGGCTCCAGCAGGGGCTGCCCAGCCTCAGCTGGGTCTGTGCAGGTTAAACCCCTTGGGAAGCTCATCCCAGCTCAGCAGGATGTGGAGCACTGCTCTGCTCTGCTCTCTGGAAATGTCATTATTGATCCAAACATTCCTGGACAGGGCCTGGAGCAGCCTGGGGCAGTGGAAGGTGTCCCTGCTCGGGGGGAGTGCAATGAGGGGATTTCTGAGGCCCATTCCAGCACCTGGCAGGTGTGAGGGATGTGGGGCTGGCTCAGGCTCATTCCTGTGGAAGAACAGCCTCTGATTTCCCTTTGGAGGGGCCCCAGCAGCTGGGTTCTCACCTCCTGTCGATCATCTGGTAGCACTTCTTGAGCCAGCCCAGGCCTGGCATCCTCCGGCGCGGCGTGGCCCCGTTCAGGTACACGATCATGTAATCCTCAGCCACCAGCAGCTCCAGGCTGCTGATCACATACCTGCCAGGGGGCCAAAAGGAGCCCGAGTCAGACTCCAGAAACATCCTTCAAGTGCCCTGTGCCACCCTGGAGCGGCTCCAGAGCCTCTCTCTGCAGGGCTGGGAACAGCTTTGGTCTCCAGGGGTGCCCCTCAGGGGTGCCCTGCCCAGCAGGGATTGTCCCAGCCTGGGCACAGAGAGCCCATCCTGGCCATAATTCACTGCAATGTTTGAATGCTTGGCCTTGCTGGACTCGGAACTGGGGCCAGTGTCCCACCAGTGTCCCACCAATATCCCAGCAGTGTCCCACCAGTGTCCCAGCAGTGTCCCAGCACTGTTCCACCAGTGTCCCAGCAGTGTCCCAGCACTGTCCCACCAATATCCCAGCACTGTCCCAGCAGTGTCCCAGCAATGTCCCAGCAGTGTCCCAGTACTGTCACAGCAGTGTCCCAGCAGCCCCTGGCAGGGCTGGGCTTGCCTCCAGCCTGCTCCCAGCTGCGGTTCCAGGGAGTTGTGTGCTTTCCTCTGGAAACCCAGGGCACCACAGGGAATATTTCTGTGTCTGCTCTGGGGCGCCCTGACCGCCAGGGCAGCACTGGCTCTGACCCTCATCCATGGAGAAAGTTTCTCAGATTTCAAGATATAACCCACAAAAGTGTGCAATGGATTACAGAGAGCAGTGTGGGTGTGTCACTGGGTGAGAAATTGAGGTTTTGGGATTTTTAGTGTGCTGTGGATGGGAGCAAGATGGAGAGCACAGGGTGTCATCCTGGGCTTCTCCTTCCTGCTTCTTCTTCCTTCTTCTCCATGGGTTTGGGTGGCATTTTGTAATTGGGCAGGAAAGTCCCCATTGCAGCTCTTTGGGATCAGTTATTGGGTTAAAAGGGAAAATAACCCAGGTGTCAGCTCTTAATTGGACAGTTTAGTCTTAAAAGCCCTTGGAACAAGAGATTGTGGCCATTTTGTGCCTTCTAATGAAAAGCTCTGAACTCACAGCAGTGACGCTGTTTTGCTGATAAGAAATGACAAACACCCAAGCCCAAACTCGAATTACTGTCCCAAGCTCCTTCAATCCAGACCCAGAGAAACCCACAGCTGGCACCCCCAGTGCTCCCCCAGCCCGCTGTCCCTGCCAGGGCACTCACAGGAAGAGGTTTTCCATGATGTAGTGATAATCTGCCAGGTTGCTGTCGGGGAGGTAGCAGGCAGCGAAGACGATGATGGCGTTGAGGCCTTCTCCGTAGTATCCTGCCCAAAAACCACAAAAGTGACACTGTCCAGGGAAAAATGGGACAGCTGAGGGGAAAACAGCACTGAAATTTGGCACTGGGGTGGGTTTTGTGTCTCTGCTCAGCTCCAGGTGAGCGTTTCTCTCTTCACACCCCTTCCACTGTGAGATTTCCTCCCGGGCTTGGTTATAATGTGGGTTTGGGGTTCAGAGAAGGGATTTTGGGTTTTTAAAGCTGGGCTGTTCCTTGACTTTGCTTGGATTTTGGAAACAAACCTGACTGCACATGTGTGGACCCTTGGAGCACCCCAGGGACTGGCACAGTCCCTCCAGATGATAACTCTACAATCATTTTAAAACATTTTAAGCACCATCTGAGCACTTTCATGCTCCTCTACCAAAAAACCCAAAGATTTTCCCCCCTAAACAGCATCCAGCCAGCCCTGGCCTCCCCTCAGAGGGACAGAGCCACCAGGGTTTGGGCTCACCTCCGTGTGTCACCACCCTCATGTAGGGTTTGATCATCTGCAGGTCGATCCTGTGCTCCTGCTCGCCGATGATGACGGTTCTCCAGAGGCGCCCGTTGGTGGCACTGCCATCCTCGGTGCCCCCGTCCCCAAACAGGTCTGCGCTGTCCCCGGGCATGTTCTTGGCCGTGGCCACGGGGGTGTCGTCTGGGAAAGGCACAAAGAGGTCTTGCCTCGAGGAGAGGTTGGGAAGAGCTTTGGGAGCACCAGTTCCCAATGGGGTTCCCAAAAAAATTCACTTCCATATCAGTCTAGGACACTCAGGGACGATGCTCTGATGGGGTTTCACCTCCAGCCTTGATCTGGGCCAATTTATTCATGATTTTTATTTTTGGGCCAATTTATTCCTGATTTTTATTTTTGGGCCAATTTATTAATAATTTTTATTTTATTTAATAATTTAATATTTTATATTTATATTTATATTAATTTAATTTTTAGATTAATATTTATTTAATATTTTATTTAATAATTTAATAAAATTTTATTTTATTAAATAATTATTTAATAATGAATATATTCATAATTTTATTTTACTAACACACAGTTGTAATAACTTTGAAAAACGGCGTTGTATAAATTTGCCAAACCATTCAGAAAAGGGTACGATCCTACAGGTTTTAATCTTGCCCTGCTGCTCAAATATTATAGAAATCACTTTAAAATCTCCTTCTGCTTATCAGTCCTCAGCTGCTGCTGGTGAACTGTGTCAAAAATCTTTCAAATGAAGCTAAAAACGACCACCCCAAGCCCTGGAAATGCTCACCCAGAGCCACCCTTTTACCTTCCCATTCCAGCTCGTTCCCGTTGCCCAGGAACTCGAGGGAATCTGTCTCGTCAGGAGTCTCAATGTCATCCACGTTGATGTCCAGGTCATCCGGGGTGTCCAGGAAGTCGTCAGAGAGGATGGAGCCCTCACTCTGGTCCAGGGAAATGTTGATTTCAGGTGCCACCAGGGTCTTCCTCTTCCGATGGGCCCCGTTGAAGTTCAAAGTGTTGGGGGGAGCTGGAGTTCAAAGGAAAATCAAACTGACAGGGTGTGTGTGGTTTGGGCAGTTGGTGTGATCTCACAAGGGAAAAAAACTTAGATTTGGGGTTTTAGTGTGTAGTAATATATAGAAGCCAAGGTAGAAGATTTTGGGTAGATTAATTGTCTGTTTTACACCTTCTTCCTCCTTCTTCTTCAGTTTTCTCTAATTAGGTAAAAGATGTCCATGTTGTGGGTTTTGAGTAATCATAATAGAGTTAGGGGCATAAATAATACAGATATCAACTGATTATCAAAGAATTAAGACTTAAATAGCTGTGGATAAACACCCTTTTAGCTCACTTTCTCAACTCCTTAGAGAGAACTCACATCTCATGAGTTTGTAATAAATAAAAGTAATATTGAACCTCACTCTGGAGTGAGACTTTCAAAAACGTCTCCTGAGTTTTATTCCCCCTTAACCTTAGAACAAGAAAGGGCCTGGCATTCCAACACATGCTGCTGCTCCTGGAGGCACAGAGCAGGGCATCCTCATGGACAATTCCTGCTGGAACATGGACCTGGAGCCCTCAGGGTGGTGGATCCCACTGGGAGGCACTGGGAGTGCCCACACCCCTGAGATCCCACTTGCCTCCCCCAGCTCCTCAGGGGAGAGGAACAACTTCAAACCCCTGCTGGTGTCCTCTCCCCGCATGAGGATTTTATTTTAAATTGTTTTTTTATGGAGAACCCAAGGTTTTCTCCCTGCCTGGCAGCTCCTCTGGGCTTGCAGAAGTTACTGGCACTTACAGGACGTGGTCTCGTCTTCCGTGGGGCTTCCCAGGGACTCCATCCCTGTCTCTTCTGGGAGAGGCCTGCAGGACAGGAGGGGCAAAACCACAGCAGAGAGTGGGGGAAATGAGGGGGAAATCATCCTGAGGGGATGGAGGCAGCAGGGGAAAAACCCAACCCAGCTGTGCTCTGCCCTTTCCCTTTTCTCAGCCTGAGGGATTCCCGAGGGGGATTTGCCCAGGAGCAGCCCCGGGTCTGGGCTTCCCTCCTGGCTGCCCTGCAGTCCCCACTAACCTCCAGCCTGCCCCAAGGGATGAAAAACCCAGCCAGGGAACAAATCCTGACCCCAGATGGCCTCGGCAGCATTCTCCTCCTCTGGATTGTGCTCATTTCTATTCTGTAGGAGCTCTGAGGGGCAGTGCCAGGCCCTGGGGCTCCTCATTAGGGCGCCCCCTAATTAGGGCACCCCAGGGCTTTATCCCCATTCCCTGGCAGGGCTCTGGGGAGGATGAGGATGGGGATGGGGATGAGGATGGGGATGGGGATGAGGATGGGGATGAGGATGGGGATGGGGATGAGGATGAGGATGGGGATGGGGATGGGGATGAGGATGAGGATGAGGATGATGATGAGGATGAAGATGAGGATGATGATGATGAGGATGAGGATGAGGAGGATGAGGATGAGCAGAGTCGCTGCCCAGCAGCCCCCGATGGCCCCGGCACACCGGAAGGGAGGGAGGTGACAGCGGGGACAGGATCCAGCCCAGCTCTGCCCCGCTCCTCTCCCCCTCCTGGTGCTGCCATGGCACCGGGGCCACCAGCCCAATTAAACCCTATAAATATGTAGATTAAGGGATAATCCTCCTCGGCCGGTCACTGCATATTCATGAGGGCTGAGCACCCGATCAAAGGCACGTGCAGGGCACCCTCCGGAGCGGGAGGAAAAACCCCCGAGCCCCGTCCAGCTCCCCCTGGCCCGTGCCCAGCCGGGCCTGGCGCGGTTTGTGCCGGGAGCTGGCGCCTGGCACGGTTTGGTGACACAGCATCCAGCTGGGCAGGGAAGGGAGGGGAGGCAGCTGAGTACGTGCTGCTCGCACCGAGCTCCAGCTCAGGCGGGCGGAGGGGAGGAAAAGCCCCGCTCACCTTCCCCGAGGCTGCTGCGGGGCGATCGCCGCCTCCTCCCGCGGCTCCTCCTGCCTCCAGCACCCCCGGGACAAATTCGGGGGGCGCAGCGCTGCCGAGAGCCGGGGCTCAGTGCCCGGGCCCGCAGGGACCGAGCGGGACGGCGGGATGAGGGAGGGATGAGGGGCGGGATGCAGGGATGGATCCGGGAATGGATGCAGGGATGGATGCAGGAATGGATGCAGGAATGGATGCAGGAGGGTTGCAGCGATGGATGCAGGAATGGATGCAGGAGGGATGCAGGAATAGTTCCAGGAATGGATGCAGGGATAGAAGGAGGGATGCAGGAATGGATCCAGGAATGGATGCAGCGATGGATGCAGCAATGGGTGCAGGAATAGATGCAAGAACGGATGCAAGGATGGATTCAGTGATGGATTCAGTGATGGATTCAGTGATGGATTCAGTGATGGATTCAGTGATGGACGCAGGGACGGACGCAGGGACGGACGCAGGAGTGAGCATGCTCCCGCTCCGCGCCGCCCGCGTCTCGGTTACGGCATCGCCGCCCCGGGCCGGCCGAGCCGGGCCGGGATCAGAGCCCGGGCGGCGGCGGCAGCCCCGAGGATCCGCCCGCTCCGTTCCCGGCTCCTCCCGGGCCGGGCCGGAGCTGCTGCCGCGGTTCGGCTTCCCAGGAAATGCTGGGAATGTCGGCCCCGGCCCTCAGGGAGCACCTGGGTTCTGTTTTTTCTGCTTTCCCGGCCCAGATCTCTGTCTAGGATGTGGCTTTTCCTTTTTTTGTTCTTTTTATTTTTTTTCGGGGCGAGATTGGCTAATGGCAGGCAGGCAAAAATAGCTCTGCAGCAAATCAGCTGCTGGAGAGCAGCTGTCCCACATGCAGCAGCTCCTGCCCTATTATTCCGATGCTTCCAGCGGGGAAGCGGCTGGAAAAGGACAATTTATTTATTTTTATTGCCAGTAGAACCCAGCTGGCTTTCCCTGGTTTGCCTGGGGGCTGTTTGGGCTCTGTCTCGCATCGTTCCTGCTCGAATCCCTCCGGAGGCGGCTCCTCCCAGGGTTCCAGCCTCATCCTCCCCTCTGCCTCTTCCCGGGGTTCATGCCCAGGGTGTTTTCCAGGATTTGGGGGTGCTGGGAGCTTTCCAGGAGGAATTTCCCTGGGAGGCTCGGCCTGGAGTTTGCTGCTGCATGGGCAGGGTGGGACAGAGCTCCCAGGTGACGCCTGGGCTGCGGCCGAGGTGCCCCAGAGCCAGACCAGCTTCATCCTGGATTTTCCAGGGAGCTCTGGGACGATCTTTTCCTTCCTACACCTTGATTTCCTGTCTCTATTCTCTGAGCAGCCTGGTCTGCTGGGAGGAATCCCCAGCTTTGGGAGGGAGATGAGTTTTGAGGCTGCTTCCAACCCAAACCATTCCACCATTCCCATCCATCCATTCCTCCATCCATCCATTCCTCCATCCATCCATCCATCCATCCATCCATCCATCCATCATCCATCCATCATCCATCCATCCATCATCCATCCATCCATCCATCCATCTCTCCATCCATCCATCCATCCATCCATCCATCCATCATCCATCCATCCATCCATCCATCCATCATCCATGGATCCATGGATCCATCCATCCATCATCCATCCATCCATCCATCCATCCATCCATCCATCCATCCATCATCCATCCATCATCCATCCATCCATCCATCATCCATCATCCATCCATCCATCCATCATCCATCCATCCATCCATCCATCATCCATCCATCATCCATCCATCATCCATCCATCCATCATCCATCCATCCATCCATCATCCATCCATCCATCCATCCATCCATCCATCCATCCATCCATCCATCATCCATCCATCATCCACCCATCCATCCATCCATCGTCCATCCATCCATCCATCATCCATCCATCATCCATCATCCATCCATGGATCCATCATCCATCCATGGATCCATCCATGGATCCATCCATCCATCCATCATCCATCATCCATCCATCATCCATCATCCATCCATCCATCATCCATCCATCATCCATCCATCCATCCATCCATCCATCCATCCATCCATCCATCCATCCATCATCCATCCATCCATCATCCATCCATCATCCATCATCCATCCATCCATCCATCCATCCATCCATCCATCCATCCATCCATCCATCCATCCACCATCCATCCATCATCCATCCATCCATCCATCATCCATCCATCCATCCATCATCCATCCATCCATCCATCCATCCATCCATCCATCCATCCATCCATCATCCATCATCCATCCATCATCCATCCATCATCCATCCATCATCCATCCATCATCCATCCATCCATCCATCATCCATCCATCCATCCATCCATCCATCCATCCATCCATCCATCCATCATCCATCATCCATCCATCCATCCATCATCCATCCATCCATCCATCCATCCATCCATCCATCCATCCATCATCCATCCATCCATCCATCCATCATCCATCCATCATCCATCCATCCATCCATCCATCCATCCATCCATCCATCCATCCATCCATCCCTCCCTCCCTCCCTTCCTCCCTCCTTTTCTTTCCCACACTTCTCTCTCCTTTCACTCCATTAAAGACCCGGGGCTGGCAGGGATCCAGCAGCTCTGCTCTCAGAGGGAATTTTATCCACTCTGGGACACTCAGGGCTGGGAAGGAGGGAAGGACAAACCCCGTCCTGTGGGATGCAGCACAGAGGGGCTCACAGGGGATGCAGCTGGGGCTGCCAGGAACAGAGCCAGGCTCATCCCAGGGGAACAGGAGCCCCTTTCTCTGTGCCTGGCAATGCTGGGGCCCTGTGCCTGCAGCTGCAGGGGCTGGGCCAGCCCGGAGAGCCCCCGGGCACCTGCAGCTGCACCAGGGGCTCCGGGAGGCTCCAGAGCCAGATCCCAGAATGGGCAGCATTGGAAGGGAGCTGAGAAATCCCCCCAGAGCCACCCCTGCTGCCCAGGCAGGGCCACCTGGAGCAGGGGAATCCACACCCAGTGGGTTTGGGATGTCCCTGGAGCAGGGGAATCCACAGCCGGTGGGTTTGGGATGTCCCTGGAGCAGGGGAATCCACACCTGGTGGGTTTGGGATGTCTCTGGAGCAGGGGAATCCACACCCAGTGGGTTTGGGATGTCTCTGGAGCAGGGGAATCCACACCCAGTGGGTTTGGGATGTCCCTGGAATGTCCCCGGAGAGGGAGAATCCAGCCCTGCCCCGGGCAGCCTGGGAATGGGAACGAGCTGGGAATGGGGGTGGGAATGTGCTGGGGATTCAGAGCACTTGGGGGTGGGTTTGGCACCCCTGTGCAGCTGCTGAAGTGGATCTGAAGGTGGAAGGTGCCACTTTGGCACCTCCTGTCAGCCCCGCAGGGCTGGCACCCATTGGGATGCCAGGATCCTGGCACAGCAGCACTGCTCTGTTTGGGATTCTGCTGGATTCAGAGCCTGGGAAGGAGTCCACAGATCCATGAATCCACTCCCACGTGCATCCATCCACCCTCTGTGGATCTCTCCATGCATCCCAATCTCCCTGTGCTGCACACCCAGCTCCTTTCCCTCCTCCCCATGCCCACACAGGGCTGCCAAAAACATCCCCAAATTTCTGATGCACTCAGAGCAGCTCCAAAAATTCCGAGCCCATGTTGGAGTTCAGGCTCCTGTTGCCTCTGAGGCCTGGGCATGGACCCTCCCACTCTGATGGTTTCTCACAGGGGAAAAAAAATTAAAATTCTCCTGGTTTTTTTGGGGGGGGGGAACACACCTGGGGAAGTCCTCGTCCTGCCACTCCTCCTTCACATCCACGTTCTCCATCCTCAGCGTGGCCTCCGTGGTGCCCATGGCTGCCAGGGAGGGGCTGGAGCCAGCAGATGCCCCCGGGAAGGGCTCAGGCTGCAGAGGGGAGGCAGAGGGGTTGGCATGGAGCACCCACGCTCCCTGGAACGCGGGGTGAGAGGGGGATTGCTCGGGAAAGGCAGAAATTCTGGATTCTGGACACGTTTTGGGCCGGAAGGAGGAGGTGAGGCTCAGAGCGTGGATCTGTTGGGGCCCCAGCTGCTCTCCCTGACACCCACAGGTTCTCCCCTTCTTGCCTCTCCTCCAGCACCAATCTGCTCATCAACCCCTCCGTGCTGAGGAAGAGGAGGCTGGGAGGGGAGGGCAGGGTGAGCTGCCCCGGGGCATTCCAGATTGGCATTCCCGGATTGGCATTCCCAGGTTGGCACTCCCAGATCAGCATTCCCAGATCAGCATTCCCAGACTGGCATTCCCAGATCAGCATTCCCAGATTGGCATTCCAGATTGCCATTCCCGGTGCTGGCATTCCCAGATTGTCATTCCCAGGATTGGCATTCCAGGATTGGCATTCCCAGATTGGTATTCCCAGGATTGGCATTCCCTGATCAGCATTCCCAGGACTGGCATTCCAGGATTGGCATTCCCAGATCAGCATTCCCAGGACTGGCATTCCCAGGATTGGCATTCCCAGATCAGCATTCCCAGGACTGGCATTCCCAGGATTGGCATTCCAGGATTGGCATTCCCAGATTGGCATTCCCAGGATTGGCATTCCCAGATCAGCATTCCCAGGACTGGCATTCCACGATTGGCATTCCCGGCTATCCCAGCGAGCCCCTGGCCCGGTCTGGCTCCATCCCTGCCTCTCCCTACCCCAGACACCTCCAGGCTCTGGAAAATCCCGGCTTCCCCCCCCTCGCCGCCGGCAGCTGCTCCGTGCCAGCCCCGCGGGCATCATGGAGGGACGGAGGGAGCAGGGAGGGAGAAGGGAAGGAGGAGAGAAGGAGAAGGGAAGGAGGAGAGAAGGAGAAGGGAAGGAGAAGGGAAGGAGAAGGGAAGGAGAAGGGAAGGAGAAACCCCGGCTGGCGGCGGCTGCCGCAGCATCCACCCCGTACTCACCGCTGCCGCTGCTCAGAGGGGAACAAAGGCGAGCCCGAGCCTTCCTCCCTGCCAGCTCGGCATTCCTCCTCCTCCTCCTCCCGCTGGATGCGGCTCAGCAGGTGCAGCCCCCGGATGGCGCCGGGGATGAGGAGGATGAGGATGGAGGAGCCTGGGGATGCATTTAGGTCGGCGCTGCCCGCAGCAGGCGCTGCTCTGCGGCTCGGCTCGGCTGAGGGACGGGCTCAGGGCGTCATTTGTGCTCCTCCATGGCTGCTGCTGCTCCCTTGGCCGCCTCCTTCCCTCCCTGCCGCGGGATCTCCTGGTGGTGTTTGGGATTCGGTGATGATGGTTTTTGGGATTCGGTGATGATGGTTTTTGGGATTCGGTGATGGTTTTTGGGATTCAGTGATGGTTTTTGGGATTCGGCGATGGTTTCTGGGATTCGGTGATGATGGTTTTCCGCCCGCAGCTGGCGGAGGCTGCGCTCCCCTACATCAGTGAATTAATTCCCTGCTTTAGTGCGGGAGGGGGCCCTGCAGGAGGGGAGGGGCAGGACAGGAGCCCTCCCCGTGCCAGCGCCGCCCCAATTGGCTGCCAGGCTCCAAATCCGTGCCCGGCTGGGCGGGTGGAGCTGCCAGGGCTGGGCACAGCCTCTGCTCCACGGGGGTGCCAGGAGGGCACCGATGGGTCTGGGGGCATCGTTCCCTGAAAGTGAAAAGTGCCCTGGGATGTGGGGTTTGGGTGCATCATTCCCTGAGAAAAGTGCCCTGGGATGCGGGGTTTGGGTGCATAATGCCCTGACAAAAGTGCCCTGGGATGCGGGGTTTGGGATTTGGGTGCATCATTCCCTAAGAAAGGGAAAGGTGCTGTGGAATTTGGGATTTGGCTGTTGGGATTTGGGTGCATCATTCCCTGCCGTAGCCCCATGGATCCCTCCCTTCCATGGCTCCATCCCTGCCGTAGCTCCATCCCTGTGGATCCCTCCCTGCCTTCCATGGATCCCTGCTTTCCATGGCTCCATCCCTGTGGATCCCTCTCTGCCTTCCATGGATCCCTGCCTTCCCCGGATCCCTCCCTGCCATGGATCCCTCCCAGCCGCGGGCGATGCGCATCTCGGACCTGCAGAGGTCCCCGCGCACCAGGAGATGGAGGCAGGGAAAGAATTCCCGCGGGATTTCTCCAAGGGGAAAAAGCAGGAATTGCGAATTCACCCAAAACCTAAGTCTGGGAATTCCATGCCAGCCCTTCCCAGCCAGGAATTCCTCCTCAATATCCCGCCCAGCCCTGCTCTCTGGCAGTGGGAGCTATCCCTGGGTCCTGTCCCTCCATCCCTCATCCCAAATCCCTCCCCGGCTCTCCTGGAGCCCTTTAGGACCTGGAAGGTTCCTGTTCTCCCTCAAGACTTTCCCATGGGCTCCTTCCTCCAGGTTCTCCAGGTCAGGAGCTGATTCTCCCTAAGGATGGAGACTCCACAACTGCCCTGCCCAATCTGCTCCAGCATTCGGCCACCCTTAAGTGAATATAAAAGATAAAATTTAAAATACAAAATTAAAAAAATTAAAATATAAAATACAATTTAAAAAATCAAAATATGAATTTTTAAAAATTAAAAGATAAAAATTAAAATAGAAAATATAATTTTTTGCAAATTAAAATACAAGATATAAACATTTCAAAAATCAAATATAGAATATAAAATAAAAATATAAAATAAAAATATAAAATGTAAAATGTAAAATGTAAAATATTAAATATAGAATATAAAATATAGGATATAAAATATAAAATATAAAATATAAAATATAGAATGTAAAATGTAAAATGTAAAATATAAAATATAAAATTTGTGCTCTGTTTAACAGGAATTTCTGGGTCTCCACTCATGCCCTGGCCTCTTGTCCACTCACTGGGCACCTCTGGGAAGAGTCTGGCTCCAATCACTGGGAGCTTGGTGAGCTGAAATTAAGATGAAACATTTGTTGTAGGGAAAGTAAAAGTTATTTTGGGTCCTTTGAAATTATTTACAACTTGAAGCAAAACCAAAAGGAGTATTTTGGGGATGAAAAGCTGCAGCTTTGTTTGAGATATGCTTGAAATTAAACGCTTTGCCTTTTATTGAGCTGTGGCATTTCCCGGTTGAAATCTGCCTGCCTTTAATCAAGAAAAGCAGGGGACCACAAGAGCCTTCAAAGATGCATTTGCAAACCCAGAAATGTTTTATTTTGGGGAGAACAAGATGTTTTCACTGACTCCACTTAAGGAAGAAAACAAAACAAACCCTGTTTTGCTGGGACAAATGGGAAAGTTTCATTCTGGGTTGACCTAAGGAGGAAAAATCTTGCATTTCCCAATTTTTTAATTGAATCTCTAAAGGCCAGAGCAGCTGTTTGCAGAGTCCAGGCTTTGAGAAACCCCTGGGAGTGTCCAAGGCCAGGCTGGATGGGTTTGGGGGCCTGAGGGGGAGCAGAGCCATGGCCACCTCCCATAGGAACCATCCTTGGACCATGTTTTGGGGTGAAAATTGACTCTGGAGAGACAAAGCCGTGGGTGGGAGTTACTTGACCCCCCCAGTTTAGGTTTGAAATCTCAAATCAGGCCCCCAAAAGCATTTGGGAGGGATTCTGGCCCTGCCCCAGGGCTGGTGTTTATTCCAAGTGAAAGCACTCGTGACCAGGGGGCACCAGGGCCTGACCTGCTCCGGGCCTTGTTTACATCTCAGCAGGAGCCAAACCTCGCCCCAGCCCGGGTGATCAGCACCAAATCCTCCCAAATCCTCCCTTCCCCGGCCCCCTGGGCTCCCCTGGGCAGGAGAACTCAGGAAAGGCACAATCAGAGCTGGCCAGGAGCTCTCTGGGCCCTCCTGGCTGAGCTGGCTGGGCTGGGCATGGGTTGGTGTCCGGGTGAGAGGATCCCGGTGCTGCCACAGCTGCTCAGGATGCAGAGTTTGGGAGCTCCTGGTGTTTTCAGTTCCTCTAGGATGAGGTGTCCAGCTCCTGTGGGAATGGTCTGGTGTCCAGGTCACTCAATCACAGAATCACAGAATCACAGAATCACAGAATCACAGAATCACAGAATAACGAGGTTGGGAGAGACCTCTAAGATCATCCGAGTCCACCCTGTGCCCCAACACCTCAACCAGACCTCAGCACCAAGTGCCATCTCCAGTCTTTTTTTAAACCCATCCAGAGATGGTGATTCCACCACCTCCCTGGGAAGAGCATCCCAGTACTTTATTATTCTTTTGGTGAAAATTTTTTTCCTAATATCCAACCTGTGCCTTCCCTGATGTAGCTGCAGATGTGGTGAGAAGGATCCTGGTGCTGCCACAGCTGCTCGGGATGCAGAGTTTGGGAGCTCCTGGTGTTTTCAGTTCCTCTAGGATGGTGTTCAGCTCCTGTGGGGCTCAGTGGGGATGGTTTGGTGTCCAGGTGAGAAGGATCCTGGTGCTGCCACACCTGCTCAGGTGGGGCTGTCCATGCAGGATGCAGAGTTTGGGAGCTCCTGGTGTGTTGGGGGAAGATGAAACAGGAAAGCCTTATCAATGTGATTGCCTGGCAAAATATTTTGAGAATATGGAAACTGTAAGAGAGATTGAAATGAAAGCAAGCTTTGAGATCCCTCAGGTACTGAACAACTGGGAAACAGTGGTGTGGCCATTGAAGGTGATCCCCTTTTGATGGAACAATTGCAGGCAGGCCCAAGGGTCAGAGCAGACCCTACTCTGAGCTGTGGGTGATGTGAAATCCTCAGAGCCATGAAATCGTGGCTTTGTCAAGGTTGGAAAAGCCCTCTGAGGTCATGGAGCCCAACCATCAACCCAGCACTGCCAAGGCCACCGCTGAACCATGTCCCCAAGTGCCACATCCATGATTTGGAACATTCCAGGGATGGGGACTCCACCACCACCAGCACCACCACCCTTTTGGTGAAGATCTTCTTCCCAACATCCAATCTCATGAGGAAATTTCCCCTCATACCCCATCCCCTGGGGTTCCCCAATCTTTCCACCCAAAGCCAGGCGGTGCAGAGCGGATCCTGCCCCTCGAGGAGCTGCTCCAGCTCCTCCCGGATTCCGGGAGCTGTTTTTGTGTTTTATGACCTGCTCGTAAACATTTATCCCTGCTGCTCTTCCCGAGGCACAGGGAGCCAGCCTGGGGTGATAAATCCGAGCAGGGAAGGACATTCCTGCCCTTGGGATGCCCGGGCAGGTGGTGCAGGCTGCCCCCTTGGCAGTGACCTTGGCGTTGATGTTAATTGAAGGGTTAATGAGGGCTCTGCTCTGCCTCCCTGCTCCCTGATTAATTCCAGCCAGGTGTCCACGGTTCAGGTCCTAAAAACAACAACTGCTGCAGAGTCTGGGAGCACTTAGCCAGGCCCCAGGCTGCAATTCCAAGTATGGATAAATATTTGCACCTCCAAGGCTGGGAGACACCTCGGAGATAGGGAAGGGATCGCTGGGGGGGCTTTTCCAAGGGAAAAGATGGATTTTGCTGGGGAGCAGGGCTGGGCTCCTTGTGCAGCCCTGCCTGGGTGGTCCTGGGGAAGATCCCGGGGTTTTGGGGGCTGCAGGGGCTGTGCCATCCCACAGCCCCTCCTGGGCAATCCAAACAAGCTCCCCCTCAAGTTTGGCTTCATGGCTCCCCTGGCTGCCCCCAGGGATGGGCTGACATGGGAGAGTGAGGAGCAGAAATGCAGAATGTGGGCAGGGAATGTGCAAAGCCCCTTGCTTGGGACAGCCTGTGGGGAAAGCAGAAAATCCATTTCATTCTGGGAGCTCCCCTTTCCCACCCCGCTGAGCTTTGAGGGCTCTCAGGTTCTCTCTGTCCCTGAAATGCTCCAGAGGTTCCCAGCTCTGGCTTTGTGGATTTCTGCCTTTCGGCGGCGTGTGATGAGTGCCAGGATGACAGAAAAATTGTGTTTGCCTTCAGACCAGGGCAATCCAGGTTCTCCAGGCCCCCTTCGTACCTGGGAAATCCAAGGAATTCAGTTACCTGCTCTTCTCCACCTTTTCTCATAGCATCAGGCTGGAAAAGACCTCTAAGATCATCCAATCCAACAACCCAATGGCCCTGCTGGTGCTCCCTTGGCCATTTTTAATTTTTAAAATATTTTTTAACCTTTTTTTTGTGTGTGTTTAGGTCTGAAAATTTCGTGGGGTCCTGCAGACCTGACCCTCATCTTGCTCTGGCCAGGGTTGTGATTGACTGGATTCAGGGATGTCTGGGCTGCAGAATTCTGATTATTTGGGTAAATAAAGAGCCTCACAAGAGGGCTCTTCCCTCTGGAGTGTGATGGAGTTGTTCTGCCCCTCTGGGGAGTCTGTGCTGCATTAAAACTCTCGTAATAACTTCACAGGAGTTTCCACGTTCAAGTGATCATAATAATGCTCATAAAGCACACTCCAGAGTGAAGTATTTATGAATTATTTGACTTAAAGTAGGGGGGAAATAAAAAAAAAAATTGAAAGAAGAAAAAAAAAAAAGAAGAAGAAAAGACCTGGGCTGAATTAATAGCTCTGGG